GATGGAGGCCAGGAAAGCCCCACAGCCTGGTGCAGCAGGCAGCCAGGCCACACTTGGTAGCCACTGGCTGCCCTGCATCCCCCAACAGAACCGCCTGGCTAACACTGGAAAAAGCTTTGTGGTCAGAAGCCCTGGATCATAGCTACAACTATCTGCCTGTAGTGTCTGCAGAAAGCATATCCTTTTTTTTTTTTAATTTATTTACTTTTATTTTATGTGCATTGGTATTTTGCCTGCAGGTATGTCTGTGTATGAGTGTCAGATCTTTGAGTTACAGACAGGTGTGAGCTGCCATGTGGGTGCTGGGTTTTGAACTGGAGTCCTCTGGAAGAGCAGTCAATGCCGTTAACTGTTAAGCCATCTCTCCAGCCCCCAGAAAGCATATTCTTAATAATGAACCCAACATGGGCCTGTGTAGTGGGTAGCCATTCCAGCTTTGATCTGGAAGTCCCAACCCCCATTGAGGCTTCGGTAACTGTCACGCCTACAAGACGGGGCCAAGGGAGGACCCTGAAGACCCGAGATCCGGATGCGCGGGCTCTCTTGGTTCCTGGACCCTGGACGCTAGAGGTAGGCAGAGTTCTCCAGAGAACACCGCCGGACTGCGCTACACCTTTCCCAGACCCTGTAACCTATCCCTTCACCTGTAAGTTACCCCACAAAATAAACCTCCCTTTTAACTACGTGGAGTGGCCTTAATAATTTCACCAACAGGCCTGTGAGCCATGGAGCATCCCTAAAGAGACAATGTTACCGTCCCCACTTCACAGGGGAAGGCGAGGTTAAGAAACTTGCCCGGGGTCACAGATAGTGACAGCAGAGCATCCTGTGGACTGTGGTCTCATTTGACTCATTCCACTCTGTTCCCATCCCCTAGACGGCAACGGTCTGAGAGTCGTTGGGCTTTATCCTACTAGACTGCAGGAAAGCCCTCACTCGGGTCACAGAGCCCGGCACACAGTAGGTACTCAAGAAGCATCTTGTCCCTCCTGCCTAGGTAGAGGGAGGAAAGGCTCGAGGTCCATTTTTTCAGTTTTAAGCAGTCTTAGTCCCTGGCTGGGAAACAGTGACAAATGGCCCCATCCAGGCAAAGGGCCTGCCAGCCATCTACAGCACTCTCCGCAGCCAGCTGAAGGGACGATTCCACCTTCAAGGCCCCGCCAGGGATTGCCTCCTTCTCTGAACTTGGCCTTTCAAAGCGGCTTTCATTTATCGGGCTTTAATGTCTCACATGATTTAATCGGAAACACGTGCCCTGTAAATATCGTCTGTCATGTTCCATCAGGTTCACAGGGAAAAGTACAAGTCAATAAACAAAGGTTGTAGCATAAATCTACCTTGAACACATAATACCTCAAATAAGAAAAGCAAAACATGTGTGGCCTCTGACCTGCGCAGTTTCATGAGCAGGAATCCGGGGGATAGTTGGGAACATTCTAAGACTTCATAATTAATAGGGAGGCGGGGCTGGTCCGTGTGCACAGTGCCAGTGCAGAGCGTTCCACAGAAGACTTGAATACCTGGCAGCACCTGCCAAGTCACAGCACACCTAACGTGACCAGTACCCAGCTGCCCCTAATGCAGAAGGCCAAGAGAGCCCTGGAAGCATCTTTCTTAAGAAGGGGGGCCTTCCCCCATTTCCTCACCTACAGGACACGGGAGGATGGCATGGTAAGAGCCTTGGGCTTTCCTTCCAATTCCCTTCCTCTGCAGCACTCCAAGAGTCCTCAAGTGCAGACAGGGAAAAGCAGGGGACGTCTGGAGAGTCAATGAACCTAAGATTCAAGTCCTAGCTCTGTCAGTCAGGACCACATGCTGACAAAGACAGGGCTCATGCACCCCAGCATGAACGGGGCTGGTGCTATTCAATGCTCAAATCTACCCATCCCTATTGGGTATGATTGCAGCTCTGGGCGGTGAGCCAAGGCTGGAACTGGCGTGGTACATACAGGAAGGTAGTCTTCGTGTAGAGAGCAAAGGGTAGAGGTGGCGTGGTACATACAGGAAGGTGGTCTTCGTGTAGAGAGCAAAGGCTAAAGGCAGTGTGGTGCAGTGGGAAGGTGGTCTTCAGATAGACAAGGAGCAATCCTTGCCCACAGGATTGCTACAGGAATTGCTACTCACATGGTATATTCTAGAATACTACCATAAAACATCCTATAGGTGTGTCTCCTCTTTTTATTAAACTCATAGACCTCAGAGTCACAGTCTAGGAAACGTCCTATCTCAGGTATGTAATACAGCTGTTCCTGATGTGGTGCTGGGGTGAGGCCTAGCACAGGCATTGTCCAGCAGGTTCAAAGTTGGGCCAATCTTAAGTGCCCAGCCATCAGAAAGTAGTGAGGGGCCACAGACCGTATGCATGCTTCAGCAGGACCCCAGCCAGCACCTGTCATTCTCCCTGGCTCAGCCTCTGAGGCAAGTGCTGGCTTCCTTTCTTCCCCAGGAGGGCTTCCTCAGCTGTCCCTCGGGCCACCTTAGTCCTTGCTGCTGAGGCTGCATTCCAGCCTAGAACCCAGCAGAGTCTAGACATACTCTAGCCTGGATCTGCCCTGAGGCAGCCTGGCCCACACCCAGCACACAGAGGCACTTCCCACATCAATAATCATTTATTTACTTATTTATTCTGTATCAGAATATCAAGTCTAGGCTGAAAACTAATAACCGCATCCCTTGCCAGAAAAGGGTCATTAGTGGCACTCAGTGACTGTGGAGCACAATGGACTTGCTGGATGAGAGCTGGAGCCCTGCCTTAGGCTTCTGCATGCCAGAGAATGGAAGGCATGAGATCAAGTTCAAGAACCCACGGGTGTCCCACACCCAAAATATAGCTTCCCATGTGTCAGACCCCGCTGACAGTGTGAGGGTGGACGAGTTGGTGAGGCTCAGGGGGCTAAATAAGTAGTTCTGGCAGTCAGGTGGCAAGACAGGCACCCAACTACATGAGCAGGTGGGTTCGGGAGCTGGTGCCCGGATAAATGAGTGAATGAATAACAGATAAGTGAGCGTAGAGATGAATGAGTCATTTGAACTGCACTCCCGATTCATCACGAAAGAAAGGTCAGGGTGCTGCTAGGCCCTCCTTCACATCAAAGACAGAAAGATTCACCTTTGAACCCCAGCACAGGAGCAGTTCCTGCCCGCTAATGTGTGCCCTAAGGCAGAACCAGAGCAGGGTCTGCAACAGGCTATGAGCCTGTGGAGCAGGAGCTAGAGAAATCGTTCCGTGGTTGAGAGTACTTGTTCTTGCAGAGAACCCAGCTTTGATTCCCAGCACCCACAGGCTCACAGCTGTCCACGGCTCAAGTCCCAGGCATGCACATGGTACACAGACACTCATGGAAGCAACACAATCATAACATGAAATAAAATATCTAAATCTAAAAAGGACTGTGGATGAATGACTGGGTAGGTGGGTAAAAATACAAGTGGGTGTCAAACATGTAAGAATACAGATGTGGCCGGGCGGTGGTGGTGCACGCCTTTAATCCCAGCACTTGGGAGGCAGAGCCAGGTGGATCTCTGTGAGTTCAAGGCCAGCCTGGTCTACAGAGCGAGATCCAGGACAGGCTCCAAAACTACACAGAGAAACCCTGTCTCGGAAAACCAAAAAAAAATAAAAAGGAATACAGATGTGTGGGGTGGATGCATAAGAGAAGAGCGGGCAGCTGGATGAACGGCAGGCTTGTTGGAACGGGGGCTGGTGGCAGTCGTGAAGGAACACAGGACCCACAGGTGTACAGAACAAGAGAAGACGAGTCCTCGGACAAAAGGAAAGCAGGAGGTGGGTCTACAAGTTACTATAGACCGGGCCAGAGGGTTCATACCCCTGAAGCTGCAATTCAGCAGGCAGAGGGCTCTCTGCTGCCGCCTTCCCAGATGCCATCTCTCTTCCTACGGGGACAGGCAGGCATATGCCTCAGCCATCCTAAGTGACAGCCCACAGCCTTTGCTCTGCATGCGGTGTGGGCCAGGCTGTGCCGCGCTTCGAGCAGAGTCACGTCCTCTCTCACGAGCTGCAGCTTACTGGCCCTCACAGGAAGCCCGCAGAAGACGGGCAGGCGGACCTGGATGAAGAAGCCCTCTGAAAGAACCCCTGCGACTCAATCCCAGAGGACAAGAACATTCACTTCTGCACAGGGCGACTAGCTCTCCAACGCACTCCCCTGCCAGCAAGAAGCGGTGCCCAGAGCAGCCCACCGAGCCTACACAGGGCAGGGCGAGGCAGGACTCTGGAACCCAGGGAAGGACTCCTTGACTTGTCCCACAGCGGGTGCCCGTCACGCTCGTGCAAACGTGGTGCCTCCTGCAGACCCCCAGCACATGTGGGAAGCCAGTGCCAGGCACCCTCCCACACATGCGAATGTTCCTAAACAGAGTAATTAGGGTGGTGTTTAGGTAACTTTTACACAGGCCCCTAATCAGAATCACATGCGGGGTGGAGCCAGCCGTGGTGGCCACGCTGGAGAGGCGGGTCAGTCCCCGCCCCAACCCAACTGCCACCCTCTGCTTCCTTACACTTAGTTTCTCTGTCTGCACCCTCCCCAGCATGGAAACTGCCCACACCCGATTACAGACGGGCCAAAGGGAAAACACTGTGGTTTCAGGGCTGAGCCACCCACCAGCACCTCTGTCATCCAGCATGACACACACCAAGTCAGACTCTTGCATGGACCTTCCAAGGCCATCTACTAGAACTGCGGGTGAGCCCAACAGGACAAGAATGGAGGACTTCCCATCCATATCCACGCAAGAACGTAGTGACCACACCACCAGTGGAATCTGCCTGAAGCCCAGCCTAGCCAGGCCATTCTCCAGCTCACCCTCCTCTGGGAGCACCCCTCCACCTCCAGGCACAAGCTCACCCTGCCCTGCCTGTCTCCAGGTGGGGAGCACAGCTGAGTTCAGGACTCGTGGTCAGGCAGACAGAAGGGCAAGGCCCAGTTCTGCTCTTCCTAGTTCTTAGTCGAGGGTCTTTCCCTCCTAGAGCCTTGGTTTCCTAGCTAAGGAGATGCCACAGCTGCTTCCCTGGCCTCAGAGAGTCACTTGGTTCCAGACCTGATAGGTAAGAACGGTTTCTCAGCCCAGTCTCCCCTCTGATTTGCTGTGTGGCCTTAAGCTAGTTTCTTGGGGTCTCTGTGCTTCAGTCGATTCCTTGGTGAATGAGAAGCTGGGCCTACCTTCACTGACACAGCCTGAGGTTCAACTCTGTCGTCCTCTGTGGGTCATTCAAGGCCAAGCACAAGGTAAGGCTAATCTTCCTTCCCAGCCTCATCCTGGTCACGTTCAGCCATACCTCTGCTCTGGCAACACCTAACTTTTCCCAGTGTCCAGCACAGAAGCCCACACTCCAGGCCATGAGCCTGTCCTCTCCCTACAGCAGTGCGTCCTGAAGCCCTGCTGTAATGCTGGATCCCTGGCGAGTTATAAAGCCGCTCCAATGCAGCAGGTTCCAGGTCCTGGGCAGGGGAGGAGGCAGGCCTGTATCTGACTGCCTGCTCTTGTGGATAGGTCTGATGCACGCCAGTGATTTGTTCATTTGGGGGTGCTTACTGACCCTATGCCCTGTGCTGGATCCTGTGCTGGGCCCTGTCCTCTAGATGCTCCTGGTTAGGACGTGGACTCAGAATCTGCTTTACCAACCTGCAACTAACACTGTGGCAGGTGATTGCCAGTTATGAAGCCTGGAGATGCAGGGATGTCGTAAGTCCTGCTACAAAGCAGGGGTCTCAGCAGTGGGCTGGCCTGAACCAGGCTTGGAAGGGCAAGGAAGCCCTTGACTAGTCAGTGAACAGGAAGGAAGGCTTCCCACAAGGTCCGGGGGCCCTGAAGCCTCTGCATGGCATACCTGCCACCTGAGCCTTAGAGTACATGACCAGGAGGAACTAAGACCCCCTCCGCCCTCCCGCCTCCCCAACCTCCCCCATTCACTGCCTACACCGGGGCTTCTCAAACTTTATCTACCTGCCACTCTGTTTTGCCTGAGAAATGATTACAGAATGCTGGGCACAAAGAGTTATAAAATAGTGATACAAATCAATCATTTACTGACAAATGGGCTGAAGAGATGGCTCAGTGGTTAAAAGCACTGGCTGCTCTTGCAGAGGACCCGGGTTCAATTCCCAACAACCACATGATGGCTCACAATCATTGGTAACTCCAGTCCCAGGGGATCTGATGCTTCCACAGGCATTGCACACATGTGGCGCACAGACATACATACAGGCACATAAAATAAAAATAAAGGAAAACATAAATTAAAAAACAAACCAAACATTCAATGTTAATAATAAATCATGAAGAAGTTCATTTTAAAACGATTCTTTGGTATACATATAAGCTTATCATTGATTAAAGATGAAAGTGTGTTTGCATACTAGTGAGGTGGATGCACTTATCTTTCTATAAGGAGTTTTTATATAAACATCTTCAACATGTTTCAGAGTTGACTTACACTTTGACTTTATAACGTGCCATGCTGAAAATGCCACTTTGTATAAATATAAGTGAAAAATGGCAGAAGAACATTTCGGGCCTGAATTTCAGGGATGGCTGGAAATTCTGTCCTAGTCCCAAGTCAAAATTCATATACTGATTTTTGTAGATGAAAAAAGTTAGCAACTTACACAGCAATTTTTAAAAAATCATTCTAACACAGTATATTCCAAAGATACATAATTTGAACATGCTAAGAAATGACAGTAGGAAAATATTAAAGTATTTGTTTTCTATAATTAAACCATTATGTTCCTAGAAAAGCAAAAAAAACTATACACACAGCAAAGCTGCATTTTTACGCCACACAACTGTCTTGAATCTGAACTGAGGTGTCTGGGGCAGCATTTGCTGGTGTTCCATGGCGTGACTGACAGCTATACAGGTGTGTGCTGCCAAAACACCTCAGAGTCTTGCATTCTTACGACTGCCAGTTTTCATAACCCCCACACTCAGCCATGTGACCCCCAGTTTAAGAAGAGCTAGCCAAGGTCAAAATACTGAGTGGCAAAACCCCACTGCTGACAATACCACACACTGGAGTCACAGAACCTGGAGAAATCAAGCGGGTACTCACCTGGAAACGTCATCCCCACCGGCTAGCTTGCGTAGTCCCGGAAGGTGCTATGCATGCTACCAGAGGAGAAAAGTCATCACCGTTCTGACCCAGCTGTGACATCGGAAGGCCACCATGATGACCAGCCTAGCAAAAACATGTCCACTGGCACAAAAGTGGCAATGGGCACCGTGTGAGTGACCAACCACTTTCTGAACAAACTTAAAGGCTCCTTCCACAAGAAGAAACCCATGCCCAGCAACATTATGGGGACCAAAAACCAGCAGCTAGATAGGTCCTGGGTCCCAGGGAAGAACCTACTACTATTATTCTGCTAAATGGCCAGAGTGTCACAGTGACTCCCAGTGACTTATCATTATACCCACAGATTAGTGCATCCTTCAGTCCTCACCAGAGGAGTGTCTTTCTTCCGTAGATGGTGGTTAACACAGAGACCCGGAACTGACTACGGTGCAGAGAATATGAGACCATGGGATGTCCGGACTTTAACAGGACATCTATCTCACCCTCCTCCAAAGGCTTGGGGACCATCACGGGGTAGGAGATGGAAGACTGGAAAAGCAAAGTCATGACGAACTGCTGTGTTCCAGGCACAGCAGGACGCTGCACACACGAACTCGCAGCAGCTGTGACAGCCTGCACAAGACCTGCACAATCCCAGCCGAAGAGGGGAGACGGGCACTAAGCCCCACCTAGCCAAGGAGCTACTGACAACTGATAGCTTCTGGGAGGGGGAGACAGTTCTCTGAGAGTTTGTCTCCTGGCAGCTCAACCTCCCTCTAGTGGAAGACCAGACACCCAAGAGTATATGAGACTTGATGGTGGTTGTTGTTGTTGTTGTTTTCTTTTTTTGGTTTTTCGAGACAGGGTTTCTCTGTGTAGCTTTGCGCCTTTCCTGGAACTCACTCTGTAGACCAGTCTGGCCTTGAACTCACAGAGATCCGCCTGCCTCTGCCTCCCAAGTGCTGGGGTTAAAGGCGTGCGCTGCCTGGCGAAACTTGATGTTTTTTAAAAGGACACAAAGTTGGAGGTGTAGAAGTATCAAAATACACTGTAAGAGATTCTCAGAGAAATAAAAAACAAAAATTACCGAGAAAATATAAACTGGAAACAGCAATTTGGATTTTTTTTTTTTTTATTGTTGTCACTCTGAAGACAAAGAGGGCCCGAAGCTGGTAGGAGACAGAGGCCGCGCAGGCGCAAACATGGCCAGCAAGTCATTCATCTTCAGGAGGCAGCTTCTTCAGCAGCAAGATGGAAGGCAAGTTCAGTGAGTTCTGGAACAGAGTCGGGTGTGGTGCCCAGGCTCTCCACCAGGGGCACTGTACACAAAGACAGCATGGGTTATGCTAATACTCTATCACAGCTGTGTTTCCAAAAGGCCTTCCCTATCCACTATGGGACCCAGGCCTCCTAGCTCCCAGACACAGATTTGGCACTCCCGTTTACAGAAGGAAAACATCAAGAGTACTTACACAGCACCCCAGTGAAAATTCAGGGCCACAGAGGTCTGGTTCTGCCCCCTCTGCCACACACCCCCAATCTTCTCCTACACCATGCTAACTAAGGTCCACACAAGGTTAACCAGAAATAGAGTATGTGTCTATTCCTATCCACAGTGGTCCAAGCCTCGCGCTGTGCCTGAGACGGTACAGAGATGGAGGAGGAGTGGTCCTGGATCCCTAGACAGATGGATATACAGCACTACCACCACGGCCGAGGCGGCGCTGTCAGAGGGCTCCACCCACCTGGCAATCATGGCCGGCCGACTGCTGCAGACACTGCCCTAGGCCGCCCTGCTAGGGCAGCTGCTTGTGGATCCAGTTCTCATGGTTGGGAGTAAAGGATGACCAAATACTGAGGGATGGCGAGGTCTGCGGTGGAAATCCAATGCATGGAGCCAAGAGGAAAAGGACTGGGTCGCAGGGGGCCTCACCAGTGAGGTGACACACACACCACCTGAGTCAGCTGCGGCCAGGGGAGCTCACTCAGCAGAGAGCAGACTGCGCAAAGGCCCTGCCAAGGGACAGACTCACTCCCTGACTCATGGAACTGCGGCGACGCCATCTCAGCACAGGGGCAGTGAGAGAGGCAGAGTAATAGGCAGAGGACGGAGACGGACTTCAGGTCTGCCTTGCAGGCCAGAGCAGAAAAGCAAACGGCCACGGGGATCCAGACAGCTAGGACCAGGATGGAGCAGACGGAGGCCCGGGCCCCGGCGGGGGGGCCTTCAAGGGCCAGAACAGAGGCGTGGGGGCTGCACAAGCCAGAAGGTGGTGGTAGAGACACAGAACTGTGTCCAGGGTCAGCGCCGAACTCAGACATCAGAGCTGACTGCTGGGGCAGAGGCAGCCAGACGATCCCGAGTGGGCATCTCCCAACAATGACGTGAGGTCACGTGGGACTGACACAGCAGCAGCAGCAGCAGCAGCAGCAGCAGCACCTAGGTTCAGCAGCATGGACGGGCCAGGGCACGGAAGGAAATGCGGGGAAATGTGGGACGTGAGGAGGCGGCAAGCAGAGCGTAACAAGGAATGGCTGGTTCCTAACACGTTTGCGTGCTGAGGGGGAAGCTCCGTGGTAGTCACAAAGCCTGTGAGGGAAGAGGGGTGGCTGTGAAGACAGGATGCTTGGGCTGTGGATAAAGGAGTGGCTGGGGGGGGAAAAAATGGCAGCAAGGCCAGGCCAGGCCGGGACAGCACCTGAAGTCCTGAGCTCACGCATTCAGACTGGGTCTTTTGGGGGTGACCATGAATGTGAGAGAAGGCTGGGGCTGAGGGCGTCTGAGAAACAGGGTTACAATGATGGGGACCAGGCTGAGAAGGAGGAAGCATGGACTCAAAGGGTGAAGATGAACAGTATGAAGTGATGGGTCAGGACAGCCAACACCTTCATGCAGGTGGAAGACGACGGCATGAGCGCCTGAGGAAAGCCCTCAGCCTGGAAGAAGGAGACCGATATGGATAAGAATTACACAAATGACTTGCCGGGCGGCGGCGGCGGCGGCGGTGGCGCACGCCTTTAATCCCAGCACTCGGGAGGCAGAGCCAGATGGATCTCTGTGAGTTCGAGGCCAGCCTGGTCTACAGAATGAGTTCCAGGACAGCCAGGGCTATGCAGAGAAACCCTGACAATAAATAAATAAATAAATAAATAAATAAATAAATAAATAAATAAATAAATAAATAAATAAATAAATAAATAAAAATAAATAGAAACAGGAAGGCAGAGAATAGTGGGAAATGTGGTTTAATAAAACCCCAATATATTGTATACATCAACAGATGAAATGTAAAAAGGAGTCACATGAGACTAGCAGGGTGGTTTTGCAAATTAAAATAACTCGAGTGAAAAATTAAAACGGGAGACAAGGTTCAGGAAATTCTCAGAAAACAGATTAAAAAGACCAAGAGGTACTAGGGGGGAAGACAGGAGAATTAAAAGAGTAATAAAAGAAGCAAAATACACAGTTAGTGAGAGTCCCAGGATATGACAACAGAATAATAGAACTGGGAAAATTAAAACAAATAAACAAAAACTGAAAGACATGACTATCCAGAAATAAAGGACCCACCGAGCAGTTAAAGAAAAGCCCAGTTCAAGAAAAGCCCACACCAAAGCACATCACTGAGAAATTCCAAAACACCAAAGATACACTGAGTGCTTAGAAACCTAAAAAGCAGACGGGGTGGATTGGAGGGATGGAGGAGGGCATATGAATTTGTGCAGTTAAGAGTCAGCACAGAGCTGGATGTCACAGCAGTGTGGGGTACCGGAAGATACGGGATACCATCTTCAAAATTCACAGGATCAGCCCCTCAGTCAAACGACCCCGGTTTCACAGCCACATTACTTAACATCACTGGGTCTCCATTTTCTCATCTCTCAAATGGGCTTCATAACTGACTATACCTACCTCCTTCTGCAGGTTGTGAGAATAAATTAATTCAGGCAAAGTCATCAAAGCAGTGTGCTAGCTCTTACTAACACTATCAAAATTGAGGACTTTTCAGAAACAAATCGGGAGAACATGCCATAGCAAATTGTGGGGTTAAACCAAGAAAAAGGAAATGGTAAAGGCATTTTACCTTTAAGGTAAATGGCATCCAAACACCTTCCTTCCACTGGGAAAATTACCTTATATGGTGAACCCCCCCAGTCCACACCAAGGAACATATTCGTGCATATACATGCACACTTGTGCAAGTGGAAAACCAGAGACGCTAACAATGTCAGCTTTCCTATACTGACCACGCTGCAGAACAGCCCATGGGCCTCTTCCCTGCTTTCTCTTTGTTATGAACCGCCATCTGGGACACTGTCTATTTAATCTGATCATTTGAGGACTGCACTTTCCCCTGTAGAATGTAAGCCCTGTAGCCACACCCATGGCCATCGCCTGTTCCTTGGTATCCTTGCAACTAGAAGCATGTGTACCTCACAGCAGGTACTCAATAAAAATTAAGTTTAAAAAAGTTAAAAATACTTGTCCCAGGCATGATAACACATGTCTACAGTCTACAGCGTTCAGAGGCAGGACTGCAAGTTCAAAGCTGGCCCGAACTACACAGCGAAACCTTGTTTAAACTAAAAAAAAAAAAAAAGCAAGCAAACAAAAACCCTTGCTTTCCCACCTTCCACAGCACAGACATAATGCTGATCAGAACACTCCAATCAGGAGCTGGTGAGATGGTCCAGTGGGTAAAGGTGCTTCCCACCAAGCCTGATGAGCTGAGATCGATCCCAGGAACCGACATGGAAGAAGAGAACTAGTTCCCCACAAGGGGTCCTCGGATCTTCACACACATGCTGTGCCCCCATACACATACACACACACACACACACACACACACACACACACACACACACACACTTTGATTAGAACACGACTCTAGGAGGACAGCTCCAAACCACACTACATCCCGGGTCAAGACAGAAACAGCAGCTGCAGTCCCCTCCTCACAGCAGTGCGCACCACGGGACGGCCTGCAGGGGGCTTGAGGTACCAGGCCTGCTTCTTCAACCTTCGCAGGAAGTCCTGAGACCCACTCAGAATCCTTATACTAAAGACTCTTTTCTGACCCCATCACCCAGGCTACGTGACAAATGAGGAACCAAGATCAAAGATCCTGCTCAGGGCAGACTGGGAAAAAAACTCTCAGAGAACTCTTCCAGATCGGGATACAGGAGAGAGGAGAGGGCATCTGACAGGGTGATGGAGTAATCAGGGGAAAATACAGGACCAAGCAAATGAAAATGAAACCAAACCAAACAAACAAACAAATAGGACAATAAACGGTGATCAGAAAGGGAAAGTCCCCAAGGCACATGACTTGATTACTTGACTGACATGTCCCAATGAGCATGCAGGCTGCGGAGGCACCATCACTGCCCTGCCCAGCCCTTCCCAATCCCCCTTTGCAAAATTCCATCTGCAGACTCCTCTTCCCCATCCCTTCAGCTATAAGAGTTGGGGAGCTCCCTAGACACTCTGGGTCACTCTTAGATCTCCGAACATCCTTCAGTCCCAAGAACTTTCAGTTCTAAGAATGGCCTCGGTTTAGTAATTAAGATGACCGGTCCAGATTAATAATCCCAACTCCAAACTCCACTTTCAGCTAAGTTCCTTCCCTTGAAGCCAGGCAGAGAACAGGCTGTTCCAGGTCCCTGAGTGTCCACCCAGCAGCAGTCAGAGCTGTCCTCTAGACTGGCGTCTGGACACCCACTGCGCCACCAGGGCACTTCTGTGGGTTCCTAGATCAACAGACAGCTGTGACCCTGCGGCCCGTGGGACACTTCCAGCCTCTTACTTCTGCCTGGCAAGAAGCACTCTGGAGCAGGGTGGGATTGACAACGAGCTCTGGGGACAGTCCTCTGCTCACTCTGCTCACGTGGCCCCAACCACAGCCTCTCCTTCTCGCTACCGTCACAGATGGATCCGTCCACCTGTTGCTCTGTCCCTCTGGCATGCTGGTCATGCCGTGTTCCCTGTGTGGTCCTCTTACAGCCAGCACCCTAGCCTCATGAGGAGGGGTTCCTTCTGCCAGTTGGCATGAACAGAAAGACACATCCCCGCCGCTTGCAACCCTTCAGAGAAAACTCTCTCCTTGGGCTCTTCCATCTCTGTCCTTCCTCCCCTCTGGGTGCATACCGGGCAATACTCTCAACCGGGAATGGAGTCCCACTTCAGAATAACACAGCCAGCACCACCATCATCATGTCTTAGGGTTCCTACCAGACCCAAAGAGACACCCTCCCATCACACACAGCCCCAACTCCACACTGGTTCAACCAAATGGACTCAAGGCCCTGAGCTAGGGAGGAGGCGGAGCAGTGCAGGTCGGGGACTGTGCTTGAGGGAACTAAGTCTTCACCGGCTGTAGAGGACCTGGGCAGTGTGGACCACACGGCAGCCAAGTCTGTTTTAAAGCCCGGTAGCCCTGGACAAGCTGCTTTCCCTCCCTAGCCTGTCCCTTCACCTGCAGATGAGATAATGACAGGTACGGCCACCCCACGGGACTGCTGGAAGAATCAGAGGGACGGCGGCGTGTGGGATGTGCTGAGTCACCGTGGGGGGGGTTCACTCCTAATGGTTTCATGATTACAGCTGGTACGTATGGAAGAAAATGCCAGAAAACAACCAAGGGAATCCCAGGCAGAGCCGCCATGCCACACAAGCTGGCATAACTGGTGCCCCCTGGAGGTAGACCTCACTGCCACCCTGTCTGAAGGCTGTGTCTAGGGGGGGGGGGCGTGCAGACCCAGCTTCTCTTCAAAGCTCTATCACACTGGCTTATTTTTAAAGCTATGTTTGGCGTGGCTTTGCTAAAAATAAGATTTTTTATTTTAAAACATTAATAAAACAAGTTGCTGCAAATAGCAGTAACAACAAACAATGGGACCTGGTGAGTGACAAGAAAGCAAGCAATGGAGATAACGGCAAAGGAAAATCCAGGCAACTTAACCATAAAAAGAATGTCTGATGTGTTCCAAAACATCGCAAAGAACTCGCCTAAGCAGAAGAGCCATACAAATGTGAACAGACGTCAAGAACAGGCTCGCGCTTCATGACAGAAGATGGCTTATTTATTTATTATTTATTTATTTTGGTGGTACCGGGGCTCGAACCCGGAGCCCCATGTGTGTTAGGCAAGCACTCTGTCACTGAGCTGCTAGAAAGCGAGATATTTAGCAAGAGAGACAGGGACTGTGAATCAACACTCAATGTAGGCAGGCCCCGCCACACTCGAAATCGGACCAAAGTCAAACGAAACGATAACCAGATGTCGTTTTCACCTTCAAATGAAGGAAAGAATTTTGAAGCCCAGGTGAGGATGCGGACAGTATGTTCTCTGAGAAGGAAGGCGCTGTCTGCAGCCATGAAAACAGGTTCAACTTTAACGGTCCCATCTACTCGGTGTTACTACCCAGCAGCCCTTGTAGCTTCCCCGAGGAAGGAGACGCTGAGACTTGGGAGAAGGCTGCTGCAGGAGGTACACACTCCGGCTCGGGCTCTCTATACCAGCAGGCAATTTTCACAGCTATGCGTATGCGATTAACGGATTGTTTGTTTTCATGAACAGAAGGCAGCTCTGAGAGGCCTTCTTATCTTGGGTATTACTAGCTTGGGGACGGGGTGTCAGCAAAGAGAGAGAGGCTCCCTAGGGACTCTTGGAGCTTCTGAATTTGAAGCTGTTTTAACGCCACCTATTCAAAATAAGCTAACCAATAAAATTTAATACATTTTTGGATGTTTACCAAGAGTTTTAATAACATGGAAATGATTATGTTAGAATGTTAACTTTACAAATAATGTTTAAGGCTATATTCAGGATATATAATATCACAGTAATATAAAAATAAACTAATATATTAGACATGAACAAATTGAAAAGAAATATACCAAACTGTAAGCAACAGTCCCTG